AACCTCTGTTAGTTGCAGATCCCGATTGGCTTCGTAATCTTGCGCGCGGGCTTGTGTCAAAAATGGTTTTGTTGGATACTTTCAATGACAACTTGTGCCTCGCTTCTCAGTGGCGCTGCATAGCTGTTCATCTGGGAGCTCGATCAGATCGAAGCACACAAGTCGCTCCAGAGCTCGCAAAGAGTTTCTTCAAGCTCAGAACAGCTCCAAACAATATCCCAAGAACTTCGCTTGATGAATTGGATAAGGTCGAAAGGCATCTCAATCAGAGGTTACCACTAACAGATTGGTTATGTATCAGAGTCTATCAGCCTGAGCGTGAGGACGATAGAGAAGTGATATGGCATCTTAGAAAGAATCCTCCGGACAAGCTGAAGAACATACTGACAATTGGAATTTATGATGGATACGCGTTTCTTATCAAAGACATCAATAGACTGACCAGAACATATGTATGCATTTATTTGCAGAGCACGCTTTACACAAGTTTGGAACCTTCAAAGACATGCTAAAACATGTGCTCAAGAGGTGACAATTATCGGTTGTCCAAACAAGCAGGTCAAAGTCCCACAGAGAGTTTACGAGAGAGCTTTCTATGCAAAGAATAAAGCTTCGCCAGCAGCGCTTGGCTTATCTGAGAGGGCAGGCGTCTCGGAAAACATTTGATTAGGAGGGATGTGGTCACGGCATCGAGAGGTGGATCGATCGGGCTCCTGTGGATAGTTATGACACAACCGCAAAGATTGTGTTTCAATACCACGGCTCAGTGCCACTGGCATGGGTGTCGTCGATGTTTTCCAAACACCCGGGACGAAATCGTCTATGACCAAACTCGAGAAGATCGATATCTTGTAACAATGGAACGTACAAGAGCGCTCCGAGCGGCCGATTACCACGTTATCGAGAAATGGGAGTGTGAAGACCGAAAAGTGCGAGAAGTTCTACTAAAACAGGAAACGCGGAACATGCTATTATCTACGATTTCGAATCAAGAAACAGCGAAAGGAAGCAACAGCTTCACTCACCTTCGAAACTATTCATGTACCGATTTCAGTGAGTATCGGTGACACGCTCGAGTACGAGCCCACGCATATCTGCGACGCTAACCCAAAACAGCTGATCCGGAAGTTTATGGAAGAGTTGGAGAGGCGCGGGAAAAAAATTCGGGCCAAGCGGGTAAGATCGAGGTTCATGCCAGAAGATATTGACCTGGTTCCAGGAAAGAAGCGGAGAACAATAGTGGAATGGTGCGACTAAGTACCTGTTTCGGTTTTACTTGCGGGCGTTACGATCTGAACCTGATCAAAGAGCATTTGGCAGAGCTGTTAGGCGGCCAAGGTCCAAGTAGGTAAAAATGCGAACGCGACGATGTTTATGAGGACAAAGGGCTTCCGCTTCCTTGATATTATCAAATTGGCTATTGATCTCAGGAAACTTATGATAAGTGTTCTGAAGTGTAAAGAGGAAGGTGTTGGAATGGATCAGATCAGAGAGGAGGTTTTTCCAAAGCCCCCGCCTATTCGCCATATTTCTGTGCCAAAAGTTTATACTGACAGATTCTACTTTGAATGTAAAGGACCTCGCAAGTAAATGAGTTTTTGTGAAAGTTTGATTGAAATTGGTGTGCATCAGAATTTTGGCGCCATTGCAGCAGGAGCAAAGTTTTATGGTGGACACAATAGTGAAGGCATCTTAGACTCCGGCATTGTTTCACCAGTTATGCCTTGTGTGGTATCTCTGATTTCTCTCTTTGGTGCCCGGGGAAAAGGGGGTACTCCCAGAAAAATTGGGTGGGGGTGTGTTGCCCGCTTCCCTTACCCTATTTATGACCAAAATTTGCGATTTTCCCTACCCTAGTTATGACCTGAACAAAAATTCGATACCCTATTTATGACCGTTGTGGCTGGCACAATTGCCCTAAACATAAGTTATGAAGGGCTTATTATGATTAAAAATTAAAGCAGCTTTTTCTAAAAGAAAACATGCCCAATTCAAGACTAGAATGCAAGAACCATGCCCTATTTATGACCAAAATGGCCAAAATCGATACCCTATTTATGACCAAAACGGCTGAAAAACCATACCCTTTGGGGCCGCACATACCTATATAGCCCATATAAGGGAGTACCCCCCTCCCCAGGGCTTTGGTCCTGTAAGCATTAGGTGCATTCAAAATTCCATAGTACATGGACATACATGTACGTAGTTCTACCTATATAGAGATCGCTTCTAAGAAGTGGTTGCTGATCAGAAACGCTACATAGGAGAGAGAAATACGTGGACTTCATCTTCAGTGCATGTACTACACAAGGAAGCCAAGAATGGTGTAAGATCCTCGGAGAAACCTGATACCTTTGTGTAACTGCAGTTGATGGCCCTCTTCTATTAGTCATGCTCTAATTGAAACATGTAACTCTGATCACTTGCCTATCATGGTTTCAATAATAAAATAGTTTAATAAAACATCCCCCAAATTCATGTGATACTCAGGATAGGTAAGGTAGGTAAAGTCTGCATACGAGCCAAGTGGCCCGTCAGGCCGGAGCTTATCCCGGTGTCTGTAGCATGAAGCGACTAGGAGTATTTCTACTCCCCCCTGGATGGNATGAGGCCACCGCGCCTCATGGTTAGTGCGCCCGTTATGGTTAGTGACTCATGGTTAGTGGTTAGTGCGCCCTCAGTAATATGAAAATTCGTAAATTTTTATCACAACACCAAGAAACTGCGTAATTTAATGCCTTATGCTTTATTTGATATAGTAAGTGATTCACCATTCTCTCTACATGTGTAATTTGCTGTGCTCTACTATGTGTATTTCTTTACATAAAACCTTTCTGACACTTTTAAGTTATATACTGTGCTGTAGTTCTCTTAAAGTCTTCCCTAATGCTTTTATGTTTGTCACAGTAGGGTATTTCATATTTATTATGGTTATTGTTAGCTAATAAAAGATCTATAAAAGATTATTTTACAATTTTTTTTTTCTGATTGCTGAAAATGTCTTCTCTATTATATCCACAGCAAATTCACAAAGCAACATTTAAGATTGTAATAATCTGTAGGGAAATTAGGCATTAACAGTTAAGTGCTTTAAAAATTCTTAAATTAAGTTCCTCCACATTTTACTCAAGAAACTAGGAGGGAGACGCCCCCTCCCCCCTGCAAGAAAGTATTAATGAAGACTTAAGAGTATCATTGTAATGACTCTTAAATGGGGCCATAATGGAGTAAATAAAGACCCAGGGTTTAAAAAAGTGGAACGATATATTGTTGAATAGATACCATCTTTTTCACTCCTAAAATGACTGTTACGTGCTGTATGTGTAGCTGTTTCAGAGCCATCAAAAGCTGATTTTTTATTAGCACTCGTGATGTACACCTAAATTGCACATTATCTGAGTTTGTAATGATTCGACTTACTTGGGTTTTTTGGAAACTCTAAAAACTTGACTAAGATCTAAATAACTAAGATGGTAATCATATTATCGTAATCCGATATTATACTATCGTATTTACCCGTGTATAAGTCGACCCCCAATTATTGAGGCCAAAAACTAGATTTTCTTAATTTCCAGGTAAGAATTTCTTGGAAAACTTATCTTGTATTTCTTAGCATTTTCTTTCAGCTACTACGGATATGTGAACAAATCACAGCAAGTTTCAACGTGAAGTTTTAATAAGCTTATAGCATGTTTTTCTTGAACACCATGTGCTTTATAATAATTCCCAATCCATTAAAACTTGTTATGAAACTTTTAGCAGGGCTTGAAAA